TGTATTTTACAACTAGATTGGCATGAAGATAAATAAATTACATGAGATGTGAGGATATCTATTGAACTTAATCACTCACTTTTTTCTTCTGTTTTGAATAAACTAATACATTTTTGTAGGCTCCAGATTTAACTGTGGCCCTAGGAGCTATGTCTTTCCCATAGTATCAAAGTTGGTTGTGAGTTGACCCTTGGTGAGAGATCTGTACTGGAGATGCTTTCTCCAATGTGATTAACTGCTTTCTCCAATGTGATTAACTGCTTTCTGGAAGTTGCTGCTCTCTGACCCTCAGAACATACACTGCCCCTACAGTTTCCCCAAACTTATCTCCCCTCCTTCCCTGGCCCCAGCCATCCAAAAAGTCTACACTGCGGAGCTTCCAGCTCCTCTAATCCTGCCCGTCTCCTTCTCCATTGGAACCCATGTCTTAGTTGCCAATATCCCTCTAACTGGGTCTTGTTCCCCTAGGTCTCTTATTCTTGTTCTGATAAGTCAACATTGAATTTTCTGACAAATATTTCTTACCGAGGTATTAATGATAGTTTCTCCTCTCCCRCTTCTAGAGTGTTTCCATTTTGACAAGGATCTTTAAGAGCTCTATATCATAATTCAAAACCATGTATCTGAGGGAAAAATTCTGTCTGATGAAGGAAATACTTTGAAGCAAACAGTGAAATTTGAAAATCATATATATTGTATTGGACCAGTAGTTTGGTGCCTACTATATCTGTGCATTCAGTGGGCTTTGGTGACATAATTAGAAACTTTGAAAAGGCAGGACACAGCTTATCTCTGGCACAGCCTATCACCAAAATTCTCTTGGTAAATTATTATGYTTAATGGAATATTTTTTAATGATGCCTAAATTACTCAGAATAGTGGCGTTCACACATGCACTGAACATAATTCAATCAATTTCATTCCCCAGTATCTGTCCTTTCTCTCCCCTCATTCCTCCCCCTTCACCCCTACCTCTACCCTGCTGGTCTTCCTTCTAAGTTCATGATACCCCTTTTTTTCTTTTTTCTCTTTAGCTTCCACATAYGAGAGAAAACACTTGGCCCTTAACTTTCTGAGTCTGGATTATTTCACTTTACATGACGCTCTCTAGTTTCATCCATTTCCCTGCAAATGACATAATTCTGTTATTCTTTATGGCTGAATAGAACTCCATTGTGTATACATCCCACTTTTTTTTTCCCCATTCATTGGTTGAAAGATACACCTAGACTGGCTCCATAGTTTGGCTTTTGTGAATTGTGCTTCTATAAACATGAGTGTGCATGTATTGCCATAGTAGACAGAGTTTAGTTCTTTGGGTAAATACCAAAGAGTGGCATTACTGGATCATGTGGTGGTTCCATCCCTAGTCTTTTTTTTTTTTTTAATCTTTATTTTATTTATTTATTTTTATGTGGTGCTGAGGATCGAACCCAGTGCCTTGTCTCTGCAAGGTGAGCGAGCAAGCACTCTACCACTGAGCCACAACCCCAGTCCCCCCTCCCCCCCACCCTGTCGCTAATCTTTGGAGGAACCTCCATGCTGATTTCCACAGTGGCTGGACTAATGCACATTCCCACCGACACATTATAAGTGTCGCCTCCCCTCCCCTGCCCTGCCTTCTTGCCATTGGAGTTTTAATGGGATCTCTTCCATCCTCACGGAGCCACATATCACTTTTTCTTAAGCCATCCCCCCAGCTATGCTTGGTGTGACCTGCCATCCCCACTCATAAAGAACAAACTTCACCACAGTGCTCATTATTTTCTGGGCTTGGGCAGGAAACAAATTTCAGGGATAATGTTGTATGTAAAGGAAAGAACTGTGGCCTGGAGAAGTGAAGTTTGATTCCCGCTTTCATTGCTTACTATGTGTATGATACGTAGAAAAGTTATTCAATCTTTACAATTCAGTTTTATTCATCTGCAAAATGGGGGCAAGGGTACAAATAGTATCCACCTTTACAGCTGTTGTGCAGAATCATAGAACCAAAGTATCTCCTTTATACTGTCAGAATTAAATGGCATTATTTATACAAAGAGCTTACCTAGAAGCCTAGTGCACATGCCCTAACTGTTATTACTATTGTCACTTCCACTACAGCTATTGCTAATTCTCTTGCTGCCTCCACATTCCTGGTGGCCTAATGAGAGAGTTGGCACTGTTTCCCAGAGTGTGCACTGAACTGCCTGGGAGGGGCCTGAGCACTGGGAGAATCTGGCAGAACAGGTTTTTTTTTTTTTTTCTTTTTTTCAAAAGAGTGGGAAAAATAAATCAACGGCAACAGCCCAAATCTGGAAAAAGAATGTACTCTTTTGTTTGTTCTTTACTAGTTGCAAAAGAACCTTCAAATACAGCTAATGCTGAAGTAAATCAAAAGCAACGTGACTGAATCTCTCTGGTTTGTGCTCTTCCTGATCTGGGGAAGACAGACTGTGGCAACTTGAGTTTCTGCTGAATGTGGTGATGGCTGACATAGTTCTAGGATGATGTTGTCTACACCAGGAAGTAGACAAAATTAGGAGTCAGCAAATCAGAGAGACAGCAGAGATGGGGAATGGCAGGAAGCTTTTCACCATGGTGTGTGTRTCTTTGTTCCTTGCTGCAAATTTGTTCAACACTGAACACGAAGTCTCAGGGAATTTGGTTAGAGCTCTTGGTTGAAAGTAACAGAAGCTAAAGTCAGCTCAAGCTAAAGTTAGCTCAAGCAAACAGGGAGATTCATTGCAGATCTAACCTGGGATTGGAATCAGGCCCTCCATGTGTCTTTCCTTTCTGCTTCATTCTTCTTTCTACAGACTTACTTCCTCTATAGCTTTGGTTGACATCATAATAGCTCAGAAGTTTTGTATAGCAGTGTACATCCATCCAGGGAGAACCTGGTCTCACTTTCTCCAAATCTAGAATTCTCATGGGAAGGATTTACTGGGCCACCAGGGTCAGAGTTCTCTCTGTGGTTACTAATCAACAATTGTAAAAGTCAAAACCTGTCATACCAGCATTGCACACACATTATAACTGCACACACACCATAACTACACACCTCCTGTGAGCAGACAGTTCAGGCATGGGGTAAGGAATAACTGGAACTGGTGTTGCTTAACTAGATCACAGAGACGTATCCTTCATATTAGGCTCTGGGCTGCATCCTGACCTTTTCCAGATTTCTCATCATTTTACCTGTGGTCTAAGATGTGGCTATACTCACTGCCCCTGGTCCCTTCATGCTAGGTGGACACTGTGGGCCTAGACAAGCTAATTCCACCATATTAGAGTGGGTATGACCCAGGCTTTAGAACTACAGACATTGAATTAAAGTCTAGGTCTACTGCTTACTAGCTATGTGACCCTGGACAAGTTACTCTCTAAGCCTTGGTTTCCTTATCTATAAAACAAGGATTATATTACCTATATAATGGGATAGTTGTACAGATTAAGGAAAATAAAATAAGCATATTTAAAATACTTGGCATAGAATGTATTCTCAGTTAATCTTTCCTTCTTGATTAGGCTACCTACGAATTTTCAGGAGGGTGAAGGAGTGGCTATAAGTGAGAAGGAAAGACGTGGTAGAATTTTCCATCTGGGAAGCATTATACCTCAGGTATTTTATGGTTATCCTGAGCAAACATGAAATAATTAAAGTGGGTCAGCAGCACTGAGAAAGCCATGCATTGAATGATAGATTCTCATTTTAGAGACAAATCAACAAGGACCAGAGACCCAGTGATGAATGTTTTATCCTTCTAAGAAATTTATCAGTGTAAGTGTATGGTCCTTAAATCTTTCTCAATAACTTTCAAGTTTCATAAAGAAAATCTAATCACTGAGTTCATGAACTACTTAAACATGTTGCCATTTTGGAGACATGCTCCCTTTCAGAATATAACAAGCCATGCTTTTTCTATAAATTACCGTTTATTGATTCGTTACTACAGCAAGCACTGTGTTAAATTTTATATGCATTACCTCATTATAACTTAAGTGCTTGCCCCCTTTTCCAGATGAGGAAATTGAGGCTCAGGTAAATAAGTTGCCAAGGTTACATGACGTTCAGAGAAAGAATTGGAGTGTGAGTTTGGATTAGTCTGATCCCAGAATCTGAACTCCTGGCAACTGTGTGGCACTTCTTCTCAACACCTTGGTTTTCGTTACAAGATTTAGAGACAATCAACAGAAGAAAGGAGTTCCTGAAAAATGTATACCTAGAGTGTCTCACTGAATAAATGGTAATCTCATGGCTCTGTGTATCCTCATAATGTTGCCCCTTCTAGCATGAAGGGGCCAGGGGCAGCAAGCATGGAGACATTCTCAGTCTCAGGTAAAATGATTACAATCTGGGAATGGCCAGCATGGAGCAGAGGGACCACTGTGAACAATATGTTTTGTCATATGCCTGAATGCAAAGTGGTGGGATTATAGGAAGAAAATTAGATGCACAACAGATAGAATATCTACTTGGACCTGAGGACTATTCTAATCACCTACTTAGAGGATACTAGTGATGGCAGGATTGAAACTATGTGTGGCGGGGGGGGGGGACTAGAAATTTTGTCAGCTTTAGACCTGTTTGTGTTTTCCCAACTGGGGCAAAAATGTGTGCATGCTGATCACCTGTAGCTTGTGTATGCATGCAGGAGGACTATTTTGGCCTGTTCCAGAAAACAACTGGCTTTAGTGACTAACGTTAGATACTGTGAGTAACTCCTTCTGTATTTGAAGGGTTCTTCATCCCTTGGCCTGTGTACCAACCAATCATGGAGGCCACTGTGATCTCTGGCCTAACTGACATGCTCCTTCAGAAACATTTATTTTGTTCTCTTTGTGCTACTGTGAATTTCATTATATTCCAGACTGTGCTTCAATTGTGCTTTTGTTAAAAAATCGCATTCTGTGTGTAAATGAAAAAAAAAAAGTTTAGATATTAGTTGATCTTGATTTAAAGTATAACTGAATTAATATCTCAATTTTTTCTTTTTCATTCCCCTTCTGTTTTTCAGCTCCAGGGTTCCTTGAAAAGAAAACAGGTAGTTAACCTGTCTCCTGCCAACAGCAAGAGGCCCAATGGCTTTGTTGACAACTCTTTCCTTGATATCAAAAGAATCCGTGTTGGGGAGAATCTCTCTACTGGACAAGGTGGCCTCCAAGTAAATAATGGACAAAATCAAATTATGCCAGGGGCCTTGCCTATGAGTCAGGCACCCCCGAGAAAGATTAGCACACTGCCATCCCACATACATTCTCCTGGCAATGCTTTGTTTAACATGGGCTTAAAAGAAGTGAAGAAAGAGCCAGGAGAGACTCTGTCTTGCAGTAAGCACATGGATGGTCAAATGCCCCAGGAGAATCTTTTTAGTAATAGGTATGGAGATGACCCTGGAGAGCAACTGATGGATCCTGAGCTGCAGGAACTTTTCAATGAACTGACCAACATATCTGTGCCTCCCATGAGTGACCTTGAATTGGAGAACATGATCAATGCCACCATAAAGCAGGACGACCCATTTAACATTGACTTGGGTCAGCAGAGCCAGAGGAGCACGCCCCGACCCTCCTTGCCCATGGAGAAGATGGTGATCAAAAGTGAATACTCACCTGGCCTGACTCAAGGCCCCTCCAGCTCTCCTCAGTTAAGGCCTCCATCCGCTGGCCCTGCATTCTCAATGGCCAATTCTGCCCTCTCCACTTCGTCCCCAATTCCTACAGTCCCTCAGAGCCAGGCTCAGCCTCAGACAGTGTCAGGAGCAAATCGGGCCCTGCCAAGCTGGCAGGAAGTATCCCATGCTCAGCAACTCAAACAGATTGCGGCCAATCGTCAACAGCATGCCCGGATGCAGCAGCAACAGCAGCAGCAGCAGCAGCAGCAACAGCAGCAACAGCAGCAACAGCAGCCGCAGCAGCAGCAGCACCAGCCTACCAACTGGTCAGCCTTGCCCTCTTCTGCTGGACCATCCCCAGGTCCATTTGGGCAGGAGAAAATTCCCAGCCCTTCTTTTGGTCAGCAGCCATTCAGCCCACAGGGCTCCCCTATGTCCGGGGTAGCTGGCAGTAGCAACCAGTCAAAAGTAATGGCTAACTACATTTACAAGGCCAGCCCCTCAACCCAGGGTGGGCATCTGGATGTGCTCAGCCGAAGTTTTATTAACAACCCCCACCCAGCCCTGGAGCCCCGTCATGGCAACACCAAGCCTCTGTTCCATTTTAATTCAGATCAAGCAAACCAGCAGATGCCTTCTGTTTTGCCTTCTCAGAACAAGCCTTCTCTCCTACACTATACCCAACAGCAGCAGCAGCAGCAACAGCAGCAGCAGCAGCAGCAGAGCTCAATGACAGCTCAGCAGCAGCAGCAGCAACAACAGCAGCAGCAACAGCAGCAGCAACAGCAGAGCTCTATTTCAGCTCAGCAGCAACAGCAGCAACAACAACAGCAACAGCAGCAGCAGCAGCAACAGCAACAGCAGCAGCAGCCACAGCAGCAGCAGCAGCAGCAGCAGCCACCATCACAGCCCACCCAACCCTTATCAAGCCAGCCTTTGATGAGGTCACCCTTACCACTTCAGCAAAAGATCCTGCTTCAGAAAATTCAGAATCAGTCCATCACAGGACTGGGCTATCAAGTCTCCCAACAACACAGACAGGTAAGGGCTCTACCACTCCAAACATAGAGTTCCCAGAGACCATTTAGCTTGGTCAATATGCTTATGTTGGGGCATTATCAAGACCAAAAGCAGTGGTGGTGTTGATGGGTTCACATGAAGACTTCATGAGCCTAYTTCTCTTAGGGTGTCTAAGGGCAAGGGCTAATATTTCCTTGTGGAGCATTGTTATTGGGATGTATAATGATCAAAGGTTCTTGATTATTAGGAATTGTTCATTATTAAATAAAACAAAAAGTGTTGCTATAAATCTCATGCCTTTCATGACATATCCAGTTGCCAGTCAGATTCTGATGTGCTTGATGTTCATTCATCCAACCAGTTAATCAGTCATTGAGTCAATGTCCACTTCCCAAGTGTCTACATGTGTAAGATATTGTGATTCATGCTGAGTATTAGAACAATGCCAGAAGTGATATTATGAGTATTCAATGTCTGGACTATACCTCCACCAACTGACTGTAATATCTTAATGCCCAACCTTCATAATAGATCCTGCCATAAGTGCATTTGGTGCATGTGTGCTGATTACCAGCACCAAATGAGACATGATCCCTGTCTACAAACACAGTCAGAAGAGAGTGACAAGCTTTAAAATTATCATTTTAATACTAGATGGGAAAGAGTAATGATAAGAGAACAGAAGTTGGGTATCTTCCCTAGAAAGAGGAAATCAAGGGAGGCTTCTGGAGAAAGTAGTGCCTGAGTTAAGTATTAACTGTGATTGCCTCATGTCCTTTGATTTACATAAAATAGAGATTTACTCTGTCCTGATAGGAACAGCATAAAGAGAGAGCCCTGTGCCTTCAGAGCACATACAGGCAAGTAAGCCCTGATCCCCAAGGAAGAAACTCTTCCTGGAAGGAAGAAACTCTTCCTGGAAGGAAGAAAGTTTGAACATTGCTTTGACATATTATTTGACAAGTCTACATTATCTGTCCATGCTCCAACATAGCACATTACAAAACAATATGTTGGGGTAGTACGATGGAGCTGAGCCTAAGGCCAGTAGCATTCTGAGAGTAGTTTCATGGCAGCTGCCCAGAAAAGAATACCATGAACACCACAGGCTGTGTCCAAGCTGACCTTTGCCCTACATATGGGCCAAGAGAAAACTAGATTCAAGGAGGATTCAAAAGCCATGTGCCAAGTAAGACTTTCAGCTCTTAGACAGTTAAGAAACCTAAACAAACAAACAAATGAAAGAAATTTTAGAATTATTTAAAAACAAACTGTGAAACTGCTTTTTAGTGCTGTAAGAAGGTATTTGATTTGGATGAACACAGGGTCAGATCTTACTCTGACCTGCCTAGCTGTATGCAACTTCAAGCCTCTCAGAACCTGTTTGGACTGCTTCCTCACCTGTAAATAAGGGTCCTAATGGTATCTGCTGGGTTCTGTTGAGAATGAAATGACATAATTCTTAGCCCAGAGTCTGGAATAAACTGATTATTACTGTGATTATCACGTAGAGATCCATAAATATCAAAATATTATTTTTAAACAAGGACTATTTTTACATAGGAAAGACACTAGATTAAAGTAATGGGAGAAGAAATTCTATATACACAGTAATATATATTACAGTATATTACTATCTGTAATTCTTTCCCTGTGCAGCCATGTAAGTATGTAGCAATTTGTACTCCTTGATCCAGACTTCTGACCATACAAATGGAAATTATAAATAAGATAGTAATGAGTTAGCATTTATTGAGTACCTACTCAATATCTGGGATAACTTCTGTTGCTCTTACTGGCAGTATTTTATCTCACCCATATGAGGAAAGTACCATTATTTCCACCTTATTGATAGGAGACTTGAGGTGCAGAGAGCTTCAGTAATTTTCCCAAGCTTACACAGAAATTAAATAGCAGAGCCAGGATCCTGATGGTCTACTTTAAAGCCTACACTTTCAGCCACTAGGATATAACTCTCAGAGGTAGGATTTGTTGAGAAATGAATGAACTCTGTAGACCAATGTAAGGATTCTCAAAAACAAAAAGGGTTTCTTCTTATATTGAGCCCTATTAATATAATCTACATAGAAGATTAAGACTTTGGGGGATGAAAAAAAACCTTACGTCTTTAAACTTCAAAGAGGTTAAAGAAAGAAAATTATAAAAATGTGTGTGATCGTGGACTTTCCTGAGAATAAATATTATGGAACTAACCAAAATTCACAATTTAGAACAGGAAATACACATCATTCATGTCCCATCAGATATTTTTTGGGAGCGTCCTTGCTACCTCCAATATCCTTTGTCCTGTTTTGGAGCATAGTGTTGATATCAGCAACTGCACACATACTCCTCCCTTAGTCTGCATTCAGGCTTCCTAGACACAAGCACACCAGTGAGTGATGAGGACCAAATCTGCAAACATCTTCCAGGGCCCAAAATCACTTTTCACCTTTTCCAGTGCACATGATGCCAAGAAATTTTTCTTCTCTTCAGGAAGGCCCTTAGAAATTGGTAGAAACAGTAGTATTTCAAGCTAAAGGCCTCTTCTATATAAGCAGGCACTAGCTACACATTTAATGTTTTATTACAGCTGTGTAGAGGGAACCACATTTTCCCTTCCAGCCCAGTGATTCTGTGTGTGACCCAGAGGTAGTCCTGCATCTGAGTTTTAAGCAAATAGACCAGAGTTCTGTAATCAGTAAGTATTCCCCTTTTGAAGGCATCCAGCTGAGGGCTGTGCACATACTATTAATGGTGCCATTGTTTAGTATAGCTACAGAATTTTCTCTAGGGATCTAGAGCACTACAGCACATTTGGTAGATTATTGCCAACACAATAATATTTTTGAAAACAGTTACAACTGGGTAATGTTGCTTTGGGTCAAAACCAAGGAATAATTATGATACCTCAAGGCTGTGTTTCAAGGGTGGTGTGTGAACTTTGTCTGAAGGCAATAAAGAAAATAGATGAATTGTTTCTCAAGATGATCGTTTTGAGAAGCAATTTTTGTGTACATATTTCTAAGGTTTTTCTGATTCTTATTGTCTCATCCAGCATATTGCCAACTATTCTTAACTTAGAAAGAATAGTTTTAACATTTCCATCTATACTAAACAATAAGGACGTGTATTCTTTCGCCAGAACAGCTAAATCTCTGTGACTCATGACCAAAGTCATGGGAAGAAAGGATTGGGAATTAGATAACTATTACATTTATCAACCAAAGCATCTTACATGAAAATACTAGTCAAGTAATATTTTTTCTTCTTGTCATACTCATTTTTCGTCAAACATGGGAATATTTACTGTGGGATTTGCTAACTAGAGCCCTGTAGTCTTAGAAATGGTAGAAATCTTGATTCTCTGCTACCAAATGGTAGGTTGAATTTGTTGATCAGTTGCTTGAAGTTCACTCAGTAGATGCCACAAAGCGGGTCTTTCTTTTAGAACTCTAAACTCAGGCAGATCCAGGCACAGGCTGAGAGCATTTGGGGGAGTTCCCAGACCCATCTTCCTTACCTGTGTACCCACCTCTGACTCCTTGATATGAACAACGCCTGAGGTATGGGTGCACCATGATCAAATTGTTGGATGTAACCTTATTGCTCCATGGCTTTACTGGGAGAACACATGGCATTGGTGTTTTACAAAACATTTTCAGTGGACTCTTGTCTTGCTGATATTTTGAGGCTCAGCCAATAGAGATACCTCCTGGTTATAGTTTCTTCTCTTCCCAATTTGAGGGTCATGAGAAAGGACAGCACAGTGATATCATATATGCATGGCTGATTTTCTTCATGTCACTGAACACTTGATGAAGTGTAAGAGTTGGTGGTTGATCAGGGCTCATGAGGGTTCAATTCAAGTCCTTACCTCTTGAACAAACAAGTGATATTTTCCACAGCTATATAATTAGTCACTTAAAAGTGTGAATCTTTTCTAACATTAGATCTATGCAACTCAAGCAGATTCTATATTCATTTTAGAATCCTTCCATGTCTGAAACTTCTGGGAAGGAAGGCAGCCAGTGAATGGATGGTTTGTTATGACTGAAACATGAATTTGTACATTTTCTCCTTAGTTTAAAGCCAAGCTCCCCAATCATATGTTATGAACCTCACCCCAGCCTCTCTACCCTGCCAAGCTGATTCTTCTTTACTTGATTTAACCTTGGGATAAATTCAGCAAGTGTCCTAATGTCCTCTTCCCACTCTTCTTTAAAGTAATAGTGCATATCTGATATTAAAGATGAACACTCAGGAAATTGTTTTCAAACAGGCCTGAGTGGTGGTGGAAGGAATCACTTTAGCTCACATATACTGACAGTACTTCTAAATCTTTATTATTGTCTGATGAAAGTGCCAGAGATAGAAGACAGAAACCTTGTATCACTAAAATTCCCATTTGAATAGGAAAATCTGGAATTCAGTGCTTTGCAATAATGTAACATCCAAGCCAGGCCATTGCTGGAGCTAGAGTTTGGCCGAAGGTCATTCACTTAAGCTAGCGCCAGGGTTCTGCTTTAGAGGCCTGAACAAGGTTAGAGGAARTCAGGAGCAGGGAAGGAGTGAGACAAAACCAAGCCAAAGTCCTACAGAGGCTAGAAAACAGGATATTCAAGACCCAAGAATGAGGCCAAAGGACGGTGGCAAACTTCTGGTCAAAGGCAAAAGTAAATAACATGAAATCTAGAGTGAAGATGGGATAGAGACCCAAGAGAGATCCAAGGGTCCCTGCAAGTGACTCCTGACCATTTGGTGACCTCCATCATGACTCACCTTGGCTGGGTCTTGGCAAGAGTGGAAAAGGTTGACAACAAGCACATTGTGGGATGTGTCAGGCCAGGATATTTCATCATTTGTCTTCTAAGTTTACGAGGGAAAAATTTTTTTTTGGTTTTAATACTCCATGACACTGATGGACACAGGATGCAGTGAGTTTCCAGATACATAGATTCATATCATTGGTGCTAAAAAATGTTTATTGGAAAAATTAGCAGGAGGGGTTTTGTTGTTTT